GTCTTTTGGTATACATATTACTGGATTTAATGTAAATAAAGTCATATTTAACTGTTACTTCATGAAAAGTTGGGTCATAAGAATTTCAGAATTAAGCGTTTGAAAGTCTTCTGCTTAGTTTTCTAAGAGGAAAGACTTCAGAAAATAAGATAAAACCAGTGAGAGATAAATAGGTGATTCGTTCTACTGTGAAACTCTTAGCCAACATTCACTATCCGTTTCACAAGACAAACCTGTAACTGATTATCCACTTAACTGTATTCCAAAGCCTAATGATTTCAAACTTATGTGATATGCAACCTCATATGAAAGATTTCATTAGAGAGTATCTGTCGTCCCACGAGAATTAGTCGATCCCATTTCAGGAGATTCCTAAGAAATCTATATAGTGATAGTTTTACAATAAGTGGAGATCAATATTCAGAAGTTCAGCTTATGAGGACGTGATTGGTGAAAAGCTTCATAGTGATTATGAGCAAAGAGGCTGACTAAAATATCCCTTTATTGTGAGTTGACTCTAATATTTGGTTATTGCAATTCAATTATTAGAAATTTACACTGATGTTTCAAAGACTGGCTCCTGAACTATTGCTGGAATTTAGCTTTACTGGGGCATTATTCATCTTGTTACTAATAATATATAGATAATCTTGACTATGAGAGGTTTTCTTACCCTTATGTATATTTATAATAGTATTGATCGTTTCACTGTCCTGGAAGAGGACCTTTTTCTTGTATGACCTATTCTTTATTGGTTGGTAAACTTGACCTATGTCAGAGTGTCTGTTAAGTTCAAAATTATCCGAGTACTACTGAAGACAGTCGATGGAGGTCAAGATCATCAGAAGAGACAGTTATATGATTTAGTTATATATGTCCAAACCAAGTTCACTTTTAACAGTTTGAAAAAATTTGGGCATTGGGTATATGATATTCATTTTAATAAAGGTTTTTGTATTTCCCAATGAATGAAAAACAAAACGATATTGTTTTTACTGACGTTTCGCTATTTAATGCTAATAGCTTTATCAGAAAGTAATTATTTTACATTTAAAGGGAGTTTATATAGACAGAAAAATGGTGTTGCTATGGGTTCACCAGTCTCCCCAGTAGTCGCCGACCCTTTCATGAATAGATTCGAAAATAACATCTTTTCAAGTATACTCACTCCTAAAATATGGTTAAGATATGAAAATGATACTTTTGTAGTACTAAAACGAGATCTACACACTTCATTCCTGGGGAAAATAAACTGTGCACCTCCCAGAATTAAGTTTACTTCGGGAGCAGAATCAGACGTCGGTGAACTACCATTCTAGACTGCCTAGTTAAGAGAAGGGAAAACGGAGATTTTAGTATATCCATATTCAGGAAGAAAACCCACTCCAATAAATATTTAGACTTCAAATCATCACACTCGATCAGTGCAACGATTTCAGTTGTTTCAAGTCTTCTTAGACGAACACACTCTCTGATAACGGATGGGAAAGAAAAAGCAGAAGAAATATCAAACATTACTGAGACTCTCAAGAAAAACAACTACCAAACGAACTTCATCGACAAAATCAACACAGACATTAAGTATGGCCGAAAACGCATTCCGAAAACATGGACCTCAACAGTCGTCATTCCATGTAGAGCAGAGACGTCAGACGATATCAGAAGAGTACTCAATAAGCTCGACATTAGAGTTTTCTTCAAAACATCAGACACACACACTACAAAGCAACCTTGTGTATATAAAATACCAAATCCCTAAAGATTCTCTATCTAATTGTGTCAATAAAATAAAATGTTGGCTTGGAATGGGATGCGATATACATCGGACAAACATCGCCAGACATCAAAACCAAAGGAAATGAACAACGTACCGAGAAATCCAGTTGAACTAGAAAAACCTGAAAAAAATCATCAGCCATAGCTCGTCTACACGCTATAGAATCAGGCCACAAAATTGATTTTGACAATATTGAAATAATTTGGTTTGTAAGGATTAGTTATGTTTTACGAGTTGATCACGGACTGATATCAGTTAGAGAACCATTGAAAACCAGGGAGTACTGGACAGCTGCTGTTTCATCCTAGTTTGGGAATCATCGGCAGTACGCACCCACTGGGATTCGAACCCGGGACCTTCCGGTTACAAGGCAAGCTCGGAAAAACATCAGAAATCACAAAACACGTCTCACATCATCAGAAGCACTTCATATCAAGTGAAATCTAAATTGTCTGAGTAGGAACGATGAACTAAAACAGAATCTGACCTGGTTACAACACCTCCCTCCCCCATGAAGTGACAAAATCAACACGAATGTGATATGCAAGTTCACTATGTTAAAACACACTGCTTTTGTACGTTTACATACTGATCTAATCCAATTGACCAACTTGACAACGAAAAATGCCCCCAGACTGACGAACGATAATTAAGTTAGTGAACTTTGTTTTGATATCATAACAGATGTACTATTACCTTGTTATTTGGTTTAGTGATCTTCATTGTTATTTTGACTCTCAATATGTCCCTTTAACTTGACTTAAGTCTATTTTCTCACCTACTAACTCTTTGTTATATATATATATGCTGAGATTTTGTAAATTCCGGTTTAATACTACTTTGATAAAGTTATTAGCAGCAGCATTAAGTAGCGAAGCGTCTGTAAAAACGATAATATAGTTTTGTTTTTCATTCATTGGGAAATACAAAAACCTTTGTTATAATGAGTTATATGATTCAATGAAAATTTTTTATCATAAACCTTCTTCACATTGGCATAAATGTTGAAGATTGTATCTGTAAGGACAATAAGTGCTTCACAGTAAAACCATTTTAATTTGAAGAACACAACGAGGCCTAAAATATCTACATTACTTACAAATCTTCACGATTAATTATACTGTAATAATTACCTTGGATTATGAGTAGAACATAGCGATTCATTAGGACACTTTCATTTCATTTTGTTATCTATACTTCCTTATGACTGAATCCATAACAGCCTATAAGATTTCATCTCATCTTAGCACAATCTCCTCCATGTCACCTTCGGAACAACGCCCAACTCGTTGCCTATTTATTATACGGGTTCACTCAAGAACCTGGCGTGCGATTTAATTCAGTGGTCTCCATTGAGTGTGCCCAATCCATCTCCATTTTCTCCTGCTTACTTGATGAGCGGTAGATTCTTTGTTGGTTTAGTACCTGACAGACAAACTTCCTTGTTGCTTGTCCTTTGTGGCTGATAACTTGAACTTCACTATGGTAAATGTCTGAAGTCTATTTAAAATGCTTTTGGTGAGGAGTGCACCCAGTTTCTCAGCTATACAGAGGCAGTGAATCATTTGATATTGGTGTTGAACATCCGAATCTTATTGTTTATGCTGAATGCATCAGATTTCCACACTGATTTTAGAGTAATGAATGTCTATCTTGCTTTTCTCATCTCTGCTGGCTTTGACATACTCAGCCTTGGTGACTGTACTTGAAATGATGCTTCCTAGATAAGTGAGAGAAGTGACCTCCGTCAAATTCCCCCTGCTGATAGTGATTGGTGCTTCTTGTTTTTGTCGTTGATTAGATAACTTTGCCAGCTTTGTCTTCTTTATGTTTAACTGAAATCCTTTCTTCTCTCCCAGCCTTCTTTGCCTCCATTAGTAGATACATGTAAGTATTTATGTGTCAAGTTGACCGAGAAGTAATTTGGAAACTACTTCAACACTACAGCGTACCCCAAGTCTTTATCAACCTCATTCAGCAACTATATGACAGTGGCACGTGCCAGGCGAACCACAAGGGAAAACTCAGCGAGGCGTTCGAAGTGCATATAGGAGTAAGACAAGGCTGCCTATTATCACCGATGATATTCTTAATTGTGGTGGACTTGATTATGCGCCAGACTGTGCATGCAAGCGACGAAACAGGAATACTCTGGACCACAGATTGGAAGACTCTAGAAGATCTGGATTTGGTGTGTAGATGATTTATGTCTAATGTCACACAAACTCGAAGATTTACAGACGAAAAACTACAAAGTGGCAGAAGAAGCTGGCAGAAAGAGAAGAAAAGACTCCGAGTAAACATAGAGAAGACGGAGGTGATGAAGATAGTCAACCAACCAACCAACTGCAACGACAACAACCAGCACCAATCACCATCGACAGGAGAGACTTAACGGAGGTTACTTCCTTCCTCCACTTATCTAGGAAGCATCGTTTCAACTGTAAGCAGTCGGAACTGATGAAGATGTCAAAGCCACCCAGCCAGCCATGCAGAATCAGAAAGGTAAAATACGCATTCATCAACTTAAAACCAGTTGGAAAATCCTCTGCACTCCGCCTCAGAATAAAGAACAATATTAGCATTTTCAATACAAATGTGAAGTCAGTCATGTCTTCTATATGGGTCAGAAGCTTGTACTGCGTGTCACGAAAAGGATTTGCAAAATGCTAGTGCAAACTTTTATCAACAGCTGCCGCCTTCGCCGGTTGGCTTCATACCGAAGATCGAATGGCCGGCTGAACAGAAAGAATCTGTCTCAATAAACTCTGGCTGGGAAGAAACCAACCAAGTGCCGATTGCTCAACAAATATGCAGGAGAAAATGGAGATGGATGGATCGGGCATACGCTGAGGACACCTTCGAATGACATCGTGCGCAATGCAGGTCATCGCTGGAGCGGAATTCAAATGGAAAGCGACGAGTGGGTCGTCAGTACGAGGGTGACATGGAGGACATCGTGTGAGGAGGAGATGGGAGATTATAGGCAATCGTGTGGTACGCTGAAGAGGATGGCATAAAATATAAAAAACTGGAGATGTGTTGTTGAAGCCCTATTTTCCACTCGAAACATTAGGCAATAATAATGATAATATATTCATATATCAAGATAGTAGTTATATACGGTAAGTCAAGATTAAAGTATTATTCCGCTGTTAACCATAACAGTTCCTCGAAACTGACGAAATGATTGTGTGTTTTTTAAATTTTATTTTGTAAACAGATATTTACATCGTAAAGGCAATAGTTATGAAGTTGACTATATCCCTATACAAATAACAATATGGAGTCGTATGAATGATGGTTCAAAAAGCCAGTTAATCACTGAGAACACTTTTCTCAAGGTGAAAATTTCAAATGCACAAAAACTGAAACCACCAATACTGCGAACATTTCGACAGGTAGTTAAATAAAAATTGTTCATTTTTCGTTTATCTTCATTCAAAAATTGTTTTCCTTGGGGTATACAAGTGTTACAATGCAACTGTGTATTCTTTCACGTAAAAATATACAAAAAGGTACGATTCTCAGCGGTTACGGACTTGGTTGGTGGATTTCATCGTGGATAACCATTGGAAAGCCATCTACGAGTACTGGACAGGCATCTGTTTCCTCCGCCTAGTTTGGGACTCTTTATCAGTACGCACCCACCCCACTGCCAGGGGTCGAACCCAGGACCTTCTGGTTACAAGGCTAGCGAGCTCGTAGACCATTAAGCTACTGGGGTCCGATCCAATGACCAGCTCATGAATTCTAACTTCTGCCAGCCAATTCATAACATAACGCGACCACTTTGCAATGTCTTTTTCGATGAGTTACTGCCTCACCTTCAACCTGCTGCTCCATACCGGTCACGAATTTCCACTAGAATCCCAGCTAACTGCCTGAATAGGGCTAGTTGCTAGTGAGCATCAGATCAATTTCATGGACCATTAGGTCGGGTCCTAGTGACTTAATGGTCTACAAGCTCACTTGCCTTGTAACAAGAAGGTCATGAGTTCGAACCCTGGCGGTGGATGCATACTGATGAAGAGTCCGAAACTAGTCGGAAGAAATAGATGTCTGTCCAGTATTCCCTGGTGGGTTTTCCAATGGTTCTCTAACTGATGTCAGCTCATGATGAAATCCTCCAACCAATTAAACAAAATTCTCTACAAAACCAACACTTGAAAATTATTTCCCCGATTGGATCCATTGGGTCTGTAATCTGCCAAACTTTGTCTCTAAGTGACTTGGTTGCTTTGATTGTCACTACAATTTCAGCCATATTAAGAAATCGTAATAGAGTCTGTGATAATCCTTCTTTATATGATAGTGCTATCAAGGCTTTAAATCCCTTATTACCTTTTACCTTCCTAATGGGTCTTCATACATTTTCGAATAAATTCTGGTGGGTAGTTACTCACTATTAATGTTGTCCTTATTTGTTTCATTTCATTATATAAAACCTCTGATTCACTGGATTTGAAGAATTTAAAATAGTCCACTTTATATAGAAATTTGCGCTGAAGATTTTGTCTAATAGGATAATAATTTAAAATAATAATTAGAGAACACGATTTGAGCAAATACGGTAAATTTCGGTAAATTCTCATCAGGCTTTACATTTACAAAATAATGAAATATTCGCCATAGGCATCTGAATTAATGTGGTTAATAAAATATACGATCACAGTTCAGAGGTGTGAATTGATGGATAACGATCAAGGTGATCATGGTAATAATAATAATAACAAGGATAAATTCATCCAAATGTTTATTTCATCTAGGCAGTGGTGAGTGTATAGATAGAATGTGCATACAAGTAGGGGTAGAGTGGAAAACAACTACTGTCAAATGGCGATTAGATAATCTAATAATAATAATAATAATAATAAATTGTTAAACCGTAATTAAAATATACAGCTGCAGAACTACATGATATTGATAATACAGTTAGCTTTCAAGAGTTTGGTTTGTAAGGATTAGATTTGATTTTACGAGTTTGACCACTGGTTCATATCAGTCAGAGAACCATTGAATCCAACAGGAAGTACTGGACAACCAGCTGTTTCATCCTAGTTTGGGAACCATCGGCAGTTCGCACCCACCACCAGGGTTTGAACCCAGTACCTTCCAGTTACAACGTAAGCTTGTCTTCTATTCAGTCACTAGGACCCGATTCAGTGGCCAGTATATGAATTCTAACTTCTACCAATTCGTGCTGCATTTCGCGCGACTGGCACTAACCAATGTCATCGGCGGTAACCTCATTCTCACTCTCGACTGGATGCACCCCACTGGTCATGACTTCTCACTAGAACTCCAGGAAACTCGGTCCTTCAGTTAGTCACTAGCGAATGAGGAATTCACGGGTCAGTGAATCGGTCCCAGTGGCTGAATACTATACAAGGTTGCCTTGTAATCGGAAGGTCCTGGGTTCGAACCCCAGTGGGTGTGTACTGCGGATGATTCCCAAAATAGGATGAAACAGCTGTCCAGTACTGCCCAGTTTTCAGTGGTTCTCTGACTGATATCAATCCATGGTGAAACTCGTATAAATTCAGTTTGCATTACAAATAGAAATATAATGAGATAATAAATATAGTTATCCGGTGTCACCAAGAGAGATAACTATTTTAGGTTGAGGGTGAAGGCCAAGGGAGAGAGAGAGATTTAACAAACGTTTTCTGAACACAGAGATTCCGTTGAGCAACTGCCTCCGTTATGCTTAGCGACGGAAGACGTACCAACCTAAAGAGTTGAGGCGGCACCCTGAATAGAATTGCAAAAGCTGAATTTTTTGTCAATCTTGTGCTCCGTACCCATTAAGTGTGCTAGTAGGAAACTTCTGGTTGACTTGACGACTCATTTACCTAAAGACGTCGGACAATGCTTCAGAAAGTGATGGTGGACTTGCTGAATCTTCCTACCTATGTAACTGTCTCCACATGAACATCTAAATTTCTATGTGCACACTGAGGTGGCCAAACTCGATAGCTTATAAAAGGAAAATGTCAGTTTCTCGATTAAATCAGAGGACGCAAACGCATCAAAATCATCCACTTGAGCTACTAATTTTCTGTGATATTTTAAACCTGCACTTATCGATTTTAAGGGGTTGGATGCATCAGAGTCTAAGTATTTATTAGAATGTGTATCCATCTCCAATGGATACTAGTATCTAACTCATTATCATGTTTTCATTCGACTTTACAGTTTAGCATGCTTAACTCATCCTACTACTGAGTTTATTATTTGTTTGAAGAACATATGGATATTTTCAAATTTCAGAACAGTAAATGATTCACCATCCACACATCCTCACCATAGTCTAGGAGTAGGGATGGAAGCTCTAAAGAGCTTAACGCTGTCATCTATCCATATACATATATCTACTACAGTTGGGGATATCTATGACCGTATTGTCATCCTCTTTATTTATTTCTGTATTTTATTCTGGAATTTGACCGCAGTGGAGGTTAAACATAACTATATACAGAGAGCTTAGTCCTGTTTTTAAGTTCAGGATTATTGTCCCATTCATTCATAAATGTCTCCAAAGTTGAATTCATTGGAATATTAATATATAAACTAATCACTTTTATCATCCTTTCCTGTTTGAGGTTCACCTTCAGGATTCGTTTCACCACAAATGAATTAATCAGCCTGGAATCTGACCGATTCATAATGAGGAACATGATCTCGATGCTGAATATTACGATTACTAATGCATGCAGGTGCCTTTAAAGTCAATGATTAGCCTAATAGGGTATCCTGTTTTACGAATTTTAATAGTAACGTACATTCTTCCAAGTTATCCACAGCAGAAGGCTCAGATAAGCATTTGAATTGAAGATAGGAGTAAGACACAGCTGTCTACTAATACCCATGACGGTATTCCTAATTGTGGTGGACTGGATTATGTTGGCGACTGAGGGGAACGAGAATACAGGAATACGCTGGACTAATAAGAAGACTCTAGAAGGTCTAGACTTCACCAACTATTCATGCTTAATGTCACATACATTTTAAGACTTACAGGCGAAATTAACAACTTATCAGAAGAAACAGAAAAGACGGGACTTCAAGTACACATAAAGAATACGTCGGTAATGAAGATAACTAGCCAACCACAGTCACAGGCATCAATCATTATCATTACTCCAAACAGCAGAGGCTATTGCAATTCGCCTCAAACAACCAGCGCTCTGTGTCCAAAAGAAACAAGTCCAGCCCCTACTACTGCCCTGGCCCTCAGTAGAGACTATAAACTCATGAATTTGTACCATTACCTTTCCTAATTCTTCTGACATTCAGTTTATTTGATGTTGATGCTGTTCAGCTGTAATTTATCAATATTATTGATTTGATGTTATTTAAACATTAATGTCGTTCATAAGACTAATTCATTCATTCATTATAATGTATATATAATTGTAGAACCTGATGATGAATTTATCGAAAAGAGTTCTCTTTGTCCCGTGTCTATTCTTTTGAAAATTTGAAACAGGTCGTTTCCCTTGCTTATCTATTCAGCCTTGTTCCAACTACAGGCGAAACGGATAAAGATGTCAAAATCAGAGTCTGAAATCAATCAAAGATTAAAATTCGGATTTTCCACACCATAGTCAGCTCTTACAAATGCCTCGGGAACTTAGAGTGCCCATCATCAAAAATATTTTGAACAGGCTTCAGACACTGACCAACAGCCACCTTCTCTGGCACCATACTGAAGATCAGATGGCTAGACAGGATTAGCAAAAAACAATAAATATGCTGAAGGCAATGGGGATAAATCGGACACATGTGCCAGCCCATTGATCGAGTGGAACCTGACTGGGAAAAAACAAGTTGGTCTCAGGTTCGAGGATGAAATGACGGGAGAGATCTTGTGAAGAGAAGATGATGAATCGTGATCAGTCATGGAGCCAGACAAAGTCGACTGCATACGGCAGGGCAAAAATGGAGATGTTCTCGACTCGGAACCCAAGGGAATAATAATGATACATTTTACTAAGTCGAACTTTTCATTCATCCAGATGACTTATGGGCACTACCTATAATGACTTAGTTAATAGTTGAGTCTTGTCACTCACCAGTTGGTTGTACGCCGGATAAGTAATTCACAGGGCATCAGTTCGAATCCTGTGACGACCCAAATTATGTCATTTCGCACCTCTAGTTATCATTCAGTAACCATACTAGATAATAGTTTAACCAAGAATTCATGAATAAGGCAGAAAGATAAATTATATAGAGATAAAATTTTTTTCTACTGCCCTTTCTATCTATTGCGTAATAAATATTGAAGAAAGTACATTTGCTTAGCAGGCGGTAAGATATTTTTCATTTTCGTTTGAATAATTATTACTGGTCCGTGGTGTTGTATTCGAAATTTGCACGACTATACATCTAAATG